ATACGCATGACCAATATCACTGCCACGTTTTTAGAGTGAACTGCCCTCAATTTCTCAAACAGAAAAATTTTCTAGGGTGAGCCTACAAGGACCATGCAGTTTGGACCTGACATATTTTCCAATGGATACGCAACAGTGCAACTTGATTTTTGAAGTAAAAACTGACTATTTATTGCGAGACAAACTACAATGCTTTCTCAACGCACCTCATTCCTAAGAACATCAAAATATGAAAGTAAAAATGGAAAATGAAGGCAATAAAAAGAAAAAAGCATAAAAATCTTATAATTTTTTGCAATGTTACATGTCCCACAATTACACTTCGATTGTTTCATAACCCACACACTTCTGATTTAAGTAACAACAAAGAAAAAAAAATTGTCCTTTGAAACATTCTTGTTCGAAAAATATAAATAAGCAAACATACATAGCATACTAACACTGCTTTTTGCAGAGCTACTCATATAATACAGCTGAAGTTCGAATTGTTTGGCGTGATTGGGAGCCGGTGACGATTCCCGACCCTGACAGCAAAAACCTTCCTGATTTCGTGATGACCAACCTTATATATAGAAATCAAACCCTGCTCTACACTGCAGGCATGTGGGATCAGCTAGAAGTGGTCATGACTTTCAAAAGACTTTACGGCTATTATGTCTTACAGGTAGGCGTAGTAAAACCTTATTATACCAAACTTATAAAACAAATTGCGTATAAACATTTTAATTAACTGTAACGACTCTCTTCTGGTGCGTTAAAACCAAAAAATTTAACAGATTTTTAAGTTACTACCACCATTAATAAGTTTTCCCTCTCTTTCGTTGATGAGCAGAAAATCTTTGATTCGTCGAACACTTTGGTCCAAAATGCTGCAATACTGTTGTTGCTTTGTTTTATAGTACGTGAAAATTGTGCAATTTGCAGAATTCCTCTTTTACCCTAACGTTTTGCAGTGTTTCGGAAACAATTTGTATAATACAATCACAATCTCATGTACTATAAATACACTCATTGAAATATTAAAAATCATCCCTTACCATTTAAACCCTTTTTTGATCAGTATAAACAGCAGACGAGCTGAAAGTTATCTTTACTTCCACTTAAACGGTAGTTTTGATGTATCTTGGAAGATCAAAACGAAAACTGCCAAAAAGCACAAAAAACAATAATTCAAATAAGCTGATTGGCATGCCAGCGACCTACGCAAAACTGCTGCTTTTTAACACTTGCGGGGTTTTCTATGTAAGTCGCAAGATTGAGTAAATATTACAAAACGCTAGTGTATAAGAATACAAGCGAGCAGTTGAGAATTTTTTTTAATAGTATATATATTGATAAGCTTTTTGTGAAGTCAAGAATTTCAAATTTTTGTTAAAGTAAACAGGTAACACTTAAGTCAAAAAAAGCCGAATCAACTACAATCAACTAACTTGCAAAACAGTCACAGAAAGCGTGGGCAGAAAATGTAAGTTTAAACTTAAGTGCTTTCAAAATTATGGAAAAACTCACAAGGACTCCATGAGCAATGAAGATTTGAAGCTTTCTGGTAACAATGCTCTCAGCCCACACAAGCGCGCCAAAAAGAAAAGGTTCCTTGATGCACATATGAAAAATTCCGACGTACTAAACCTCTCAGAACAACAATGTCTCGAAGGATAAACCAGCTTTTTATGTAAAAAAAAAAAAGGAAAGAACAATATTAGATCTCAAAATGCGCAAAATGAAAGCCGGAATTCGACAGCACACAGGCTGTAGGTTGTGGTCGAGCAAAAACTAACAAAAAACAAGACATTTTTGCGACCCTCACTTGTGAACTAAGAGTAGATAAGGTAGGGCCACACAAAAATGGTAAAAATCACACATAACTGAAGTCCAAAAACTGTAAACAAATTATTATACAGAAACTTTTCGAAGCGCGGCACAATCACTAGATCATTATTTACCTTCTTTATTCTAGGTTTCTAGAGAGGAAATTCCAAGTTTTTTCGCCTTTTAAAATGTTAAACTTTTACTGCCACCTCAACTATGCCAAATATTTGAATACAGAAAATTTAGAAGACATCCTTCCCAACAAGTTTTTCAAAAATCTACCAGTTTTGTGCGCTACAATATTAGTTTTTAAAATTAAGAAATTCTTTAGTTCTTTTACCTAATCGCTCGAAAGTTCAGACTCCATTAGCTACTCAAACGTAGACTGCACTAGTTCTTTACGCCCGGAGCCGAACTTTAAATTTTGCTATACATTTAAACCAACGTGTGTCTGCTTTTCTAGATAACGTGACAAAAATCAATCAAAAATCAAGGTTAAAACCTAACACACCAGCAGTATCACCCACAAAAACTCAACTTTCCTAGCATTTCCAGGCTTTCGTACCATCCTACCTCTCCGTTTTCACTTCATGGATAACCTTCTGGATAGATTCAAAGGCACTGCCAGCAAGAGCCTCTCTTGGACTCAGCTCGCTTATGGCTCTAATATTTCAGTTTGGAAATATCGTTAAGAATCTTCCAAGAGTTTCGTATATTAAGGTCACTGGAATTTAATAGCCAAATTTGCAAATTCTAGTCTAAATCTTAAAACATCTGTAGCTTGTAAGAATTCCATCAAGCGAAAAAAAAAAGTTCTTTTACAGGCACTTGATGTATGGCTTTTCGGATGTATTGGGTTCATATTCCTCTCATTAGTAGAAGTAAGAATAAAAATCAAAAATTTTTTAACTTAACTGTACTAAATTAAAAAAACATTCTAAAGACAATAAAAAGCCAAATTAGCTTTTGGTATTTCATACAAATTTCATCAATATAATTAAAAAAAACTGCCAAAAATTTTAACAGATGGCTATCGTGGGATATACAGATGTGATTGCCGCACGAAAACGAGATCTACAGAATGCAGAAAAAAGTATTACAAGTGAAGGTTGGAAAAACAGGCGAGAAACGGGCAAGAAAGCGAACTACCACAGTCCATTTCGAGACCGTAGCAAAGGTAATTTGAATAAAACTTAAGTTCAAATTCCGCTAAGTGCCAGAGAGATTATCTAAATTTCTGAACCACTGTCTCTTCAAAATAATTTTCTTTTATTGATATAGATACTGAACAGCTTTTGTATATTTCCGAACAATTTACTAACTTTTGCATAAACCTCAAAATTATACAGTTTTTCTACCACTATGCGAAACTCAGAAATATATTCTCATCGTAAGAAATGAAAAAGAACTATTCACAAATGACATTTTCACTTGACAGCTACAATATGATATATCAAGAAAAAATAACTGATGGAAAAGAACAGATGCGGAGCAAAAGAACTACAATTTCAGATTACCATAAAAGGATATCAGAAACACAAATTGTGCTTTTGGAGCCAATTATGCCAACTACAGGTTTTCAAAACAGTGTCGAAGAAGAGCCCAAAAGTGGAAAAAAAAGAAACTCAAAAAAAAAGAAAAAAAGGAATGTAACAGGCGAGAAAATTGACGAGGTAATTCTATTTGTTAGAAACGGTTCTAAGCTTCTGCGCAAACATACAAGTTCATGAAATACATTACAGCAATTTCAAAGCTAAAAATAACTCATTCTTTGGAACTGAAAAATCCCTGAAACAACAGTGAATTGCAAATGGAGTAATACTACAAATATAGCTTTACCTTGCAAAAAATAAAAATCGATGTGAAGTTTGACAATTGCCAAAAATTAATACACATCTAAGACTTTTTTCTTGAGACTAAGACATTACTCTACTATAAGTAAAAAAAGATTCAAAAACATTAGAAATAAGTTTAAAAAACACGGAAGTTACAGAAAGCTAAACAGCAACAGAAAAATTCTAAAAAATAATTTCAGCCTAAAAAAACCAAGGAAGGTACAGAAGACTTGAAATGTATAATTTTCAGATTTCCGGGAAACTGTTTCCTGTGCTATTCACTATTTTCAATGCAGTATACTGGTTGTACCTTACTACTACTCCTCGACGGTTCCAACCACAATGATATCTAGAGAACAGACTCAATACAAAAAGGTTTAAAACCCCGGCAATAAAAATTAAACGTGCCACTCATCTTGTATAAAAATCAAATTGGGAAAGTTCCAGATAAAAGTATCCTGAGAACTAGCAATTTGAACCTATTAAGATGAAAAAATTTCCTTGTAATTCCACTAAATTTCTGTTTATACAGCTGTTTATATAAATGCCAATGAAAATAAACAATTAAAACATACCCATTCACCTTGTAAAGTTGTTTAAAAGGTGTCCCAGATTTGAGCACCCTCACTTGGTTATGCGCATCATCAGACCGTACAAATATGGAAAACTAAAATACGATGTATTTAAGATCATCGCTTCAATCAAAACATTACAAAGCCCCACGAATGTAGTTCCATAAACAAGTTAAAATCGATAAGACAGAAGAAGTGAAGCACCATCAACACTAAGAATTAATTTAAAAAAATAAATTAGACTGGACACTAACAGAGCAACCAAAGTGAGGCGACTGAACTTCGAGGCTGGAAGGAAGAGGTGACAACAAAAAATACGCTTGAACAGGACATCTATGCAAAAATCTTAGAACAAGCAAAGTTAACCTAAAAATCATTACACTGTATTTTAAGTATATTCACCCACTGGTTAGGCCTGCAACTAAAAGATACCTCGAGAAGGAATTTTACGCCGCTATTTCGTCTAAGATAAAATGTAACTGATAGTCTGAGGTAAATAAACAAAAAAGCAATCAGATTCATCTTGGAAGTTTTGGTCAATTTTGAGCAAATGCATTTCAAATACAGTAACTGTTATTCAAGTCTTTAACTGTAATATTGTCATTAATAAACTCGGATTCCTATTTCAGCACACCCAATATTTTTACAGCGTAAAAGAAAAAGATTTAACATGTGAAGAAAACTAATATCCCATCTAAGAAATAAAGAATGAACTTAGATCATTTAAGGGTGGAATTACTAGCAAACATAACTTAGAATTTAAATATAAACTGAAAGCAGAGCATCATTGTGACAAATAAGTACTGGAAATATGGTTGCTCACGAGTTCCGTAGAAGCAAAGTTTGCTCTACAACAGTACTTCTTAAAAGATAATCGCTTAATGAAAATCCGAAGCTATCACTCTTGGCCATAATGTTTGTTTAAAAAATTCAAAAAACAATCACCGCAAAAAAATTCTATTTGGTGGTCATCCTAATGAACAAAACCACGTAACTGTAATCGTAGCTGTTTTAAAGAAGTTTGCAAATAAATTCTAAAACGAAACGCTTAAACGTAAACCATTTTTTTGACTATAAAAGGCGACTATTATACAGTTTAACAGCCTAAATTTAATCTTATACTCCAAAGTAAAAAAATTTTCACAACTTTTATATAACACTGTTGAGCGGAAAAGCTAATCACGGACCTTCAACTTTATATGTTTCTTGGCACTTTAACAACAACAATTTTTTTAAAAGAACTTTTCGTTAAAGACTCATTTTCAACCAAAAAATTTTTACTTACATCCAAAGCCCACCCAACGAAAAAAAAAAAATAAAACCCAGTGCCTTAAAATAAGAATCCAAACAATTCACTATAAACTTAACGTAAAAAATTACCGACTGAAATATAAACTTTTTTCGCAGTTCACGTTCCAATTACACTCATCACACCTGGTTTGCTGTTAGCTGTACATCGGTCGCGAAAAGCAAAAGAAAAAAAATAATAAATGGAACTGGGAAACAATCAAAAGCAGTAATTAAAGAACAACTGCAAGAGACTTTTCTGAATATTTCAAGGAAAAAGTGAAATAACTAAAGTCTGCATGATTTCTGTTACTGTTTAACACCTATATGAACACAAAATATTTCTACAAATACTTTTTCATAGACGATAGACAAGAAACTACAACTCAAGAAAGTAAACGCGAAGTCGAATATTAATATCATTAAAAAAATTCACACAAGAATTATATTTATTCTGACAAACACTTTCACAAGACATCAAGGAAATGAAAAATGGCAAGATTAATTTCACCTCACACGAAACGCTCCTGATTATTAAAGTAACTTAAAAGTAATGGTTGAAAAACTTCAATACCCTGACTAAACACCCTTTTTATGACATTTCGAAGTGCAAAAATGAACATGTAAAATGAAAACCCAAGAAAAATGTATCTGACCCACAAAAAATGTGGTAAACAAATACCTTTGAACAAAACAAAACAACAAGAAATAAGAAAGACAGAAAGTTTCTACTTTAAATGCAATACCAGTTGATGACTTATAGCACTTCGTATTCGGTCATCCGAAAGGATTACCAACTAGAACTTCCAAGACTTCTCTGGAATTAAAAAAGCTATTGTAAAGAACCTAAGATAAACAAAGCAGTTACAGTTTCATATTGCTCTTCTTTCCTAAATTCAACTGTTGGTCTCTTCAGACTAGTAACAAGTTTCATTGCCACCAAATGAAGACATTCTCTGCCATTTAACTTTTATTCTGTCTTCACTTCCAGCCATACTTCGCAGGAAGATGCCTGCTGAATATGTCAAGAAATATTTTTAAACTGAATCGTTCCTCTAAATCTCCATCACATTAGTGAAACTAGTCCCAATTTTTTCCAGTAGGAATGTTCTACAGATCAGGATGTTACCCACAAACTCCCTGTACAAAAAACAAAACGTTTGTCGACTTCACAAGTTTGAATTATGCAGACCATTTTCGACAAAAACCAATGATATTATACGCACGCACCAATGCCGGTTGCCTTGTCCTCTGCGAAAACACCAGATTACTGTAGTTAATCGCGTCATGTTTTCGTTTCAAGACAAATCGCTTGGACCAATACACACCACTCAAACATAGGAACGTAAAACCTCTGATGCTCTCCCCCTCAGCAAATATTTTAAGACCAAGTTACAAGAATACCTTAGTGAAATGTTAGTAAACGATCACCAGTTATATTCTCAGGATTCTTTGTGACTACTTCATATCAGCAAAAAACAAGCGTTTACTCGCCAATTTCTTAGCCGCAAATGATTGAATTACTTAATTCCAACATAAAATTCACACTAACGGACAGCAAAAATCAGATTGCCTTGTTTACAAGGACATTTCAGAAATTCCCTTCTTCACCTCCCTCCTAATTTATTGTTTTCGGACGTAACCACAAATGACGCATTGAGAAGTATCAAACAACTTGTCACCGTACACTCGTTATGGCGACAATCATACAGTCAGGCGTTTAATAAAGAAGAAATACATCTTCATTTACCTAATAAAACGTTTTTTTGTTATAAACCGTAAAGGTACAGTTAGAAAAAGTTGATGACTTATAGCACTTCGCATAAAAAAGCATAAAAAAGTTGACCATAAAAAATTTTAGCATTCTAGGCTTACAGCACAGCTTTCAATCCACTCAAAACTATCACCGTATTTTATGAATACAAAAAGCTGTCTAAACTTACCCGTGCAGAGGTAATAATAACATAATTTAGATCTCTAAAAGAAACAACAAAGCAAAATTTTTTTTAGCAACACAGCTTCCCAGTGTTACTGATTCGGCACGATCCTGTTCCTCTGCACAATATGCCTCTAACTTAACCTTCCATTTTAGTCCTTCCTTTAGATGTTTCACATCCTCTCCACAGAGATTAACCTCGTAACCCTTAACTTAAAAATTATAAAATTTTGATCATGAAATTTTTGCAGCTAAAATAGTAATATATCTTTTCTGTCCTCTGTCCTTCCCTTCCACGGCACTTTCTTCCGAAAACAAAATTTGGATGCAAAAGTTTAAAAAACTCAGCATTTATTTTCTGAAAAAAGTTTTTCATGGGAAAAACTGTTTGCAATTCAAGAAAGGTTCTCAAGTTATCTCAACTGCCATTTGAAAAGTTGTCTTAAATTTGCCAAACTGACCATCAAAATATTTAATTCCAACAAGTAACTGAGCGTTGAATGGTATCAACATTTTATGCAGAAAGCAAAAGTTTTGAGCTAAGGTTATAACACACCATGTACCCTGACGTGACTAGAGAAAAAGTGTTTCGTGTAAGAATAACATCCTGATGCTCAATAACGCGAGAAGGGTGAACAAAATGAAGAGAATAGAAATATCTATCACTTTACATGCTATTTCTTTACTGACATAACTGTTCCCGGCCACAGAAGAATTCCTAAAATCTTCGGTAACTTTGAAAGATAACAAAGACGACCTTTTGATAACTCGTCTATTCGATCGCCACTCAATAAAAAATCTGTAAAAAACAACTTATTCCCTCTCCTGAAGCAAACACAAAGAGCAAGAGCCTGTAGGGCTGGTGATTAAGAAGAAAAGACAGGGACGACATCCACTAATATACCAGTATGCTCAGTTGGATACACTACGACTCGACGTGCTTTCCGCTTCTGTCCGGTTTGAAATAAGTTTACCGTTTATGCTTAATTAGAAAGAATTGCTTCTCAACATCTCATAAAATTTCTCTGCACATCTTTCTTTAAAGGGATAATTACTTCTAATAAATTATTACAGAAACTCCGAGCGATAAAAACAAATTTAAATCTGCTGACGTCTTATTGCATTCTCAAAATATATACTTTTACTTAAAAAAAGAAACCATTATTAAATTTCAAAAAAAAGTGTAAAAAAAACAGTCCCTCTCAGAATTGAAAACAGCAGTACTGAAAATAAAAAATAAAAGGTATCCTGATATGAAAAAGTACAAGCCTATTTTGATAAAAAATTTTGACAGAGTTTAAGGGTGCAAAGAGAAGTAAAAGAAATTTTGATGCCGCTTTGAATCAAGCCACATAGAAACACCAGTATCATCATCTGTCAAGTATTTAGAAAATGCAGTACTCAAAGGAAATTGAGGTAGCGGAGAACATTCAGAAGACAACTGTCTTTAGAAACGATAATTTGCGGAGCGATGTGACAAAGTACCTTTCAGATAAAAGTTTCACAGCAGAACGAGTCCTGAATGATCAAGACCAAAGGTTACCTGTAATTAAGTAAAAATCAACCAGGTATGTATTCTCTTCATTCATAATCTTGGATAAAACTTCATATACAATGGTTCCTTAGGGAGATACTCTTCTGCTCGTCAGCTTTTTTAAAATGATTTTCTTTCAGCAACGCATGGGACAATTAAAACTTCGATATCTGAAACGTTTTCCAAATCCAAACTTCAAATCCCACAAATGGAAGACACTTGACAAGTGTCATGCTTTACCCTTGTGCAGTATGCAAGATTGTAAAACTTCTAAAGATAAAGTGGAAAAGAAAAGCAATAAAAAAGGAAAACTTTTGCTGGAAGATCAAATCGGTAAACTAAATTTCTGGAGTCCCTCTGTAAAAAAAATGTATCACGTGTCATCTCCACGTATAGGTCAGTTAACGGTGAAGAAAGATTGATGCAGATATGACAAAGAGTAGAAACCAAACTTGCAGTCTCCATAGACATTTCGTTTTTAGCTTTGCAAATCCTTTAAAAACTCATGCCTTTAGTATCAAGTGACCTATATTGTATATACTTCCTTCTAGTAATTAAATCCAAGCCCAATTTAGCAACTACGCCCAGGCATCCAACTTTCCCAATCAGGAAATTTTTTGTGAACAGTAATTTTCAAGAAAACTTACTAATGTAATGTAGGCACTTCTCAGCTTCTTCCTCCCTACTGCTCCCACATGTTTCATGACTACGCGTTTCTTTCTACCAATGTTTTATGACATATTCAACTTTCTTTTACGTAGCCCAGCAGATCATTTCCAACGTTCAGAGAAATCCGCAGAATTTAAACAAGTTCTAACCGGCTACTTTCTCCTCACAACCCAACATCTAGATACTTTACCCGTTACAATCAATATAAGATCATGTCCGTACGGATTTTTTGGAATTATGCTTCAAATCATTTCTCTTCATAAATTTCGTCTGCGCCAAAATTGAAGCTTTGTTCTGCCAATATTTAAGAGCTCCTTTTTCTGTAGGAGGCAGTTCACAGGACTTTATTTTTGTTGCAGTAATGCTCTTCGTAAAAAATATAACGGTGTCACTAAACGAAAAGTTGAGTCGGAGACACAGTTCACTAACAATTCACAAAAACAACAACATAAATTTAGAGTGTCCGCCTCCATCACTTTTTCAATCATGCTTGGCTAATTTAAGAAAGTGCCCTTCTAGAATGAATCGTGGTAACAATCACATTGCTGCTTTATGAAATACAAAATTCCAAAAGAGCTTATAAAAAGGATCACGTTATTACCAAAGAAGCGAAATGGATGTGATGACTGCTATGATAGTAGTAATCTTTCATAAATCAGAACCTTCATCACTATTTATCGTTGCTGTTAGGAAGAGCACCACGAAATTCATAAAAAAAGAAAAGGACTGGACCGTTAAAAATCAGTTGTAAATTTTGCTTCACAGATTCTCGTAGAAAAGCGCAAACAAGAAATGTTGAAAAGTTGAGAAGAATTCAGTGGGAAAATCATAATATCATTGTTGAATCACCGAAAACTTTTAAACTCTGTTATTATTCATTAGTCTCTTTA